GGGGAAGTGGAGAATATAGAGATATTAACTAAATACTTTGAACCAAAAGACCCTCTTGACTCTATATTGTCTTGCGCCTGTCTCCATAAGCAAGGTGAGGAATATGAACAAACAAAATCCATAAGACATTAGAAATAGTAAGTAATCAAATCAAAACAGAAACAAACACGACAATTTGAGAGATCACAATATTCCACAAGGAAATGATTAATAGGTCTAAGATTTAGTTCTCTACCCCAAAAAGATCAAAAGAGAGAAAGGCAATCTAAATTTCAGGAACTAGATTGAAAAATGAAAACTAACCACAACTCATCGAATGACTTTAATGACATTTCCGAATTCTCACATTAAGTATCACCATCAACACTCTCCTAAACCTTGAAAAAATATGCACTTGAAATAGAAAATTATCAAAAGAGCAAATATAAGCAAAACCAGTTCCAATCAAAACAAGCCACAACTCAAACACATACCATAATCTCAAAATAACTAACGTATCATAATCAATCTACTCTCAAAATTTGAATTGCAATGAAATTCCATTTCACTAGCCAAAGAAAGAGAGACTTACAATGTCCATCCAAATCAAGTACTTACTAAGGCTTTAAATTGTAACAAAACCCTAACTTTAGCCTACTTTATGCAAAACCATTATTGAATATATCTGATTTCTTGCAGTGTATCAATTTCAAGTCACAAATTTACGATCGATAGCCACTAATGACGCGGGAAATAAGAAAGACAGACCAGAATTCGCGTAGCCATCATCTTCAAGAGGACCGTACATGAAAAGGCTCCGTGATTTTCGCTTAGAAAGCTGAGGAGTAGACTCTGGCGGCGGCATAGACGGCAGGACATCGGAGAGATTGGATCGAGAGGAGGCGATCGTTTCCTTCGTCGGATTCGAAGACGGAACCATGCCTAAACTTAAAACCCTTCAACTAATATTGCAATTGCTGTTCTTCGAAGGACAACTGAGACATTGTTAAATCGGGGCGGTGGCCGTTAGCGTTTTGCAGGGAGGGAGAACAGGAGCAAGGGCCGCCGTTGGGTTTGGGATGAGGGGCGTCTTCCTAAGAGCAGAATGTTATTCACATCGATACGGGCCATGATGAATTTGGGCTTCCGCTTTAGAGAAAAAGGAGGTTAAATGGCCCATTTAAAATCTAAATGCAGCAAAACAAAATCCCCGCTTTTTATTTGTTTCCCAAAGCTCTTTTTTTTTGTTATGAGTGTTTTAAAATAATTTTTTTATTAAAAGAGTCTATCTAATTTGTATTTTAAAAATATAAATTAAGAGTATATTAAATATATATTTTTATTATAAATTTATATAAAAAATTAAAAATTAATATTTAATTTATCAATTATTTAATTAAATTTACTTATTTAATATTGACACTAAGATTAATATTAATATTTATAATTTTTTATATACATTTATAATAAATTGATACGGGCCATGATGAATTTATCTCAAGTCTCAACGTTGATTCTTGACACGGGCCATGATGAATTTGGGCTTTGGCTTTAGAGAAAATGGAGGAGGTTTAGCCCAACAAGGTAAAATGGCCCATTTAAATGCACAGGAGCAAAATCCTTTTTTTTTTTGTACTAACCTTCTAGTATCTAGAAACCACATTGGGCCATGACTAATTCGGAATCGAGCTGGGTCAGATCCCATATGGGGGGAAGCTCTCCCAGCACCTGTTTTTTCCATTCACAAAACTCAAACTCGAGATCTTGCTTAAGAGGAACCGAGCTCCTTTCACTCGGACCAACAGATTATTGATGTTATTTATGTAGGTATTTGGCTATGATTATAAGCACTCGACTCATTTTTTAAGCCTAGTAAGATTATGTTAAAATATTTATTTTAGTTTATTTTATTGTTAAAAGGTACATATTAAAAGTATTAAAATAATAAAAAATTAATATTTAGTTTATTAATTATTTAATCAAATTTGTATATATCTAATTAAATTTATACATATAATAATAATATTAAAATTAATATTAATTCTTACATTATTTTCTCTCTCCCATCACTCTCCCTTATTACGATTTTAATTAGTTGATTTGTCTTATAAAAAAAAGCATATGTTAAAAAAATATTTGTTAAAAATAATTAATAATTAATAAAATAATTAATATTTATTATTTAATTAATTAAAATTAATTGGTTTGTTTTATAAAAAAAAGCATATTTTAAAAAAATATTTGTTAAAAATAATTAATAATTAATATAATAATTAATGTTTATTATTTAATTAA